TGGGTGGGCGTCGCCCGGGTCGTCTGGAGGTGGCCCACCACTGGAGCTGGAGCTGGAGCTGGGGCTCACGCCGGCGATGTCAGATACAGACGTCCCTGTTGCCTCAGGAGAGAGCTTTCGATTGCGAAAAGGATTGTTGCTAGATGCCATGCGTCGTCTCGAAAGCAAGAGTAGCTGCTAGTAGCACGTAAACACTCAGATGGTGGTGAAGGTGATAGCAAGGTCGGAGCAGCGGTGGTCTGAACCCGGACAGTCTAGCCTATTATTAGCTAAACTTTGCGAACGGTGTGCTGTGTACGCCGTGCGAGCGTCGCGAGCTGTCAGTGAGGAGGCGCAGCGCGAGAGAGGTGGTAGTCATTTCGATACAGACTGCGCTTTGAGAAAAGAGCGATCGTTGCTGCGGTGGCTGCACACGACCGTTGACTAATGCCTGGGAGGAGCTGATATACAGATATAGTATGGTACAATACAATTGGAGAGCAGAGTGCCTAAGGTAACAGTCGTGACGGTATAGGTGCCTGACGATCGTTGGGCCAAGCGATATTGTTATGAGCCACCCTCCTTGCTACTTAAGCTCCGGAAGAACTCAGCGTACGCATGTTCGATGTCGAACAGCAGCTGTAAAAGGACACACGGTCACAATAAATTATGCGGTGACATTAACAATTGAAAAAAATGCGTACTTGTCTGGATTGTTCTTCTGTGATCTCCTCTGACGCCTTCATACCGTTCAGTGTGATGAGCCTAGTATAAAACGTCAACAGGGAAGCAGCGCATGAATCGTGATCTCTACGCACCAGCTCACCATCTTACTCCTGCCTTCCCAATCCTTGCTACCCTTGAAGCGTGCATAGCCGGTGACCAGTTCCTGCAGAATTGGATGCAGCTGGTCTTTTGCACGCATCCGCAGCTTGAGCGCATCCATGAAGGTAATGAAGTTCTGGTAGGCCGCTTAGCATATGTATCCTCAAGACGCAAGGCGCTTCACGACGCACCTGCGTTGTCTCCGCAACCCACTTCCCCGTCTCTGGACCACCCTCACTTGAATGCTCCACCGTCGCTGGCACGCCGACTTTCAGTCGATGTAGGGCAGCAGGGTGATCCATCTAGCATGGGCGCACATGACAGCAGTAGTTAGCTCTAGAGGTGGCAAGGACCGTAAAAGCAATATTCTGCTCACCCGATACCGACTCATGAACTCTTCTATCGAGGGAACGTCATCGCCCACCAGCTTCAACATGGTCTTGTATTGCGACAGCAGCCGGGTACATGCAGGAGAATACCTCTTGACCAGACAGCTCAGTATACACACTCACCTCAGCAACATCGGAACAACATACTCAGCTGCAGTCACCGAGTCGCGCACATACGCACGCTCGAGGTAGTCCAGGGCGACGATGATGCCGAAGAGCGTCGCAAGCAGACCGTACTTCTCACGTTCGGCATTAGTCGTGTACAACCTTACTTCCTGGTCGAGGTTCAAGGGTGTGGACATGGCGGACATCGTGGTGGCTGTACAGGGGAAAGGTCAATCCGGTGGCGAGATCTTATCAAGTCACGGTCACCTGACCCTCATGGCGGATCGCGTCCTAAACAAAACTTGGTTGAAGAGGCGCCGGGCGCCGGTTTCAAATGACACGAAAACTCAATCACAGTAGCGGAAGATGCGGTGTGTATCACTTATGCGAACGTAGCTCTATATTACATCTCTGCAGCCTCATGTTGGTGAACAGCAACAGCGTAGGCAAGAGCCAAATAGGATGAATCACTTAAAAGAAATGAACGACTTCGAGCATTGTCGTAAAATGATGAATACATGTTGCAGCTACGGGAAGCTGTCCCAGACTTCTTCCATGTCATCTCGAGACCCCGCCCAGACGTTGGGCCCTCGTTCCATTGCCGTACACGGCCTACCACAGGGTAAGTCTCTGATCCGCCATGAGATGAAAACATCGCTGACTGTGTGGGTGCGTGCATTGTCGAAAACGAGGTTGAGGCATCCATCATCTGAGAAGAACCGTCACCAGTGAGGGCAGCTCCAGCGAGTGCAGGACATGGTGCAGATGTCGTCGAACGAGAAACTTCAGTCTTCGTACTTTCTCCTTGCAGTGAGTGCCTTACTGGTGATCACTGATGGTGCATGAGCAAATACCGCGACGGCTGAGAAGATGTGTGGGGTATGCCGACACGATCGCATCAGCGGAGATCGCGTTCATGATGATGGTCGACCAGAAGAAGCATAGTGGGTAGAAGGCCGATTCGTTGTGGCTACGCATAAGATTGACACGGATGTTTGGTCCGGTGATTTGAGCCATACAGTCCATTCCCTGGTTCAACCAGGGGTACGGTTGCTCCTGATTCTCCTCGTCCGATGCATCTATGACATATTCGATCACGAAACCCATTAAGTTGCTGATGTAGTCAAGTACCACATCCCATTGACTATGTGGCGTGTATAGATCGTAGTCATTAGGCTGCCACAAAGCATCGACGAGTAACAGTCTGGCAGCAGCGGAACTGGACAGTATGGTGCCGGTGTCACGCATCATGGCGCGGAAGTCGCCGGTGTCCTCGGAGACGATGCAAACCAGTGAACGTAACAGTTGCATGAATAGAAAGCAAATATGACAAACTGTCACGGTAACACCGGACAAGAGATCAAAAAGACTAAAAAAGGGACAGTTACGTGGAACGTGCCGCCCTGATCCCCCTGATCCCAAAAGTATCCCCCTGAACCCTATGTGGCGCAAGAGCCTGTTGACTTACTGGTCAATGTGGCGGACGCAGGAAAGGGTGAGAGATATATGAAGGAGCTGGTGAGCTCAGTGAGTGCTA